AAAACAACCTTTTAAGTTGTGTTTTGATTTTCAACATTTTACACACAGAGCAGCGGGCAATACTGCCCTCCTCCTCGAGATGCTCAAATTTTAACTCAGACAAACTTGGGCTTGGAAAATTAATGGCCACCCAAAGGGTTTCTGTTATTCCAGCCTGACATAAACTGCAAAGACCGCTGGCTCATTTTCCTGCCTTCGGGGGAACCCTCCTTTCCGCTCCCAAAGACCTGTGTCTGTTCCTATATGGGCAGGAGTAAAAGAAGAGCTCTTCTGGAAGCGGTGATGGTGTATCAGCATTGCTGAAGGCAGAATTGGGCCCAATCTATCTGACATGCCAGAAGAGGAGATCTGCAAGTACAAACTATATTTAGACATGAAAATCAGGGAGATGCCCAACTATTCAACCTGCCTGGGCAAATGCAGCTTTTCACGCGCCCAGAAACAGCCAGTAAAGTCAAGTGGCTAAGCCCAGAAGACGGCGTGTGATAGTTTTGCAGACTATCTTTGACTCTCTGGCATTTACTACCATCTTTATATTGTGGATTTATGAGTCCAGACCTTTGAGTATAATTTCACTCAGCAAAGCATCAGTCCTACATGAGTAAAATGAAAACCTGCACGTACCCACAAGAGCAATGTTAGCACCGCCAGGCTTCGCAATATCACACAATGCAAACTGTCAGTGCCTCAATCAATATCCATCAATGCTCAACAATAAAGACATAGTGCTTCAGATGGGAAAAGATTAGCCCTTATCAGATTTACCAGTTGTCCAAGCAATACAGGATCTGGGATGCAGACTGATTACGCCTAAGAGATATATCATTAAGTAGAAAAAATGGTAGAGCTGCGAGGCACCGCTAGTAACCCAGTTTTTGGAACGTGGAGTCTTTGCTTTAATACGCATTAAACCAACAGCAAACAGCTCGCTCTGGGTCCGTATCCCGGCCGCTGCTCCCTTCCCCGTGTTGCTCTGCCTGCTACAAGGATCAAATTTCATGGTTTATTGTTCTTCCTCCAACTGGCCACCATCCACATTCTTCTTCTGTACAAAGCTGCACCTCTTGCTCAAAAGAAAAAGAGCACTATGCCTTCTTTTTATAAATTTTAGTCACATTTACAAACACACACACAGAGTAAGGGGATGACTTTTAAACACTATGCAACGTTCCAGGGAATGTTGTTATTTTTCTTTGAGCAAATTTCTGTGAATGAGGCTAAAAAAGGCAATTTTCCACCAGAAGGTTGTTAATTTTTGAAGATGCAGAAGATGTCTCCCCTGTCTTCTGAATCTAACATTTTGCCTTTTAATGAAACAACTGCTGTATGCTTGAAAAGTCCTATTCATCACCTGCCTCAGGAGAGAATTGGCACCGAGATTCTGCAAAGCTCAAATTCAGCTCTGGGTACACGGCTGGAAAATCAAAACCACAGTCACTGGGGCCACTTCGCTATAATGGAGTAAAATTGGTACACAGCAGGTCGGGTCCAAGATTTCAGTGTCAATGTCTCAATGTAAATAAGAAACCTACTGCAGGCAAATAACAGATCTACATGCTAGATTCAAAGAAACCTAACAAGTATCCCAGAATTTTAAGGTTTTCTACCTAGAATATTTTTCATTTTTCTTTTAATTCAGCACTCAGGAGCCATTTTCTTCTATGAGATTTACAGTAAAGTTATCAAAACCTAACACAACGTTCCACTTCTGAACATCCACCATCTTTCTTCGGCAGCTCAACAGACTGTAAAACTGAAGCACTGTCATCTGCTGCATAATTATTGTAGTAGGTCTTACTTGTAAAATGAGGGAGGCACCATAAGCTTACTTAACTAGTCTGAAAGTGTAAAATGCTCATCACCTGTGATCATTTGTCTTAACTGTCCTTGATCTTTACTCATAGCTGCCAAATTATAACAACTCTCTGATGTTGAGAATCAGCTAAAAATGCAGCACAGGCAGAGCACTGGCAAGGGTGCTGGAAGAGGGGCTATTCTGGCCAACTAAAGAGATTCACTGCAGGAATTTTCTCTTTTTTTGTTTTTTTTTTTGGCTAATCAATGATGTAGAGGGTTCAGAGGTGTAAGACAAAGATGCAAAGCAGGGAAAACTAGTGCAGAGGAAACCTCAGGAATCCAACAGGGACCTGGCAATTCCCACACACCCAGCAGGGGAGCCAGGAAAAAAAAATAAATGCTCAAAGCTTATGGACACAGGATCAAAAGTGATCATGTTACTGCAGTTAACAGCTTACCAGCCATCGTCCGAGATGCAGTAAAACACCGTGAACGTATTCTTCACCCACTCTGCCTCCAGAGTAAAACATCTGATGGGCAGTAATTCATGGAGCTGCAGCAACTTACTTTCAACCACATGTCCATCCATACTCCAGATCCCAAGCTAGCAAGACCCTCTACTTTGTGTTTAATTTGGGTCCCACTGAACAAAAACAGGGTCCTCACGTGGTTAAAGCAGCAAAAGTGCTTCAGGCCTTTGTTGAATTAGGGGCCTTATATCGATAACCCTTTAAAGTGACCCTTTATATGCCATATCGTTACGTGTTACATATTTGGATAAGCAAATTCAGCAAGTCACCAGTCCTTCCCAGTTGTTTTAACCTGCTGTATCGAAGCAAGGGAGCACGGAGTGTGTACAACTTGGAAAGGCGTGAGTCGATCCTAAAGTGGCACAGTGGAAATGCACCTCACTGATTTACCACTAAGAAGTTGACATCTACTATCTCCTGATTTCTCATTGCTATCATAGGACAAGATTACACCAAGCCACCTACATAGAAGAAATCCAAGAACCAGTCACTTAGCAGGGAAGAAGAGCAAAGAAACCCAGGTTCCGGAGCGTATTCCCCAACTAAGCACCGGGCTCCCGAGCGGATCCCAGCAGTGCTTCAGAGATCAGCCTCTGGTTTGCTGGGTGAGAAATGTTTCAGTCCATCACGAGGAGCTGATGGAGCACCCGTGTGCACAGCTAAGCGGCTTGAAGGATTCTGCTTCCCAAGTGCTGGTTCAGCCTAACAAGGTACTTGGCTTTGGTGGTGAGGTTCAACCTGTTTCCTACTAGTCTTCCAAACAAGAATATAGCTATTTATTCCTCACACCCAGCATGCTCTCACACTGAGTCCCCAAGCCTTCCCTGCTCTGAAGTCCCCATTCACACTAAATCTTTCTTATCTGGCGTAGTAGCAGATAGTGCTTCCCGCCGCTCCTTGTGTCACAGGGAGAAGGTTGCTGGAGAGAAATCAGGGCTGTGTCTCCCTCCTGCCAGCTGCATTTTTGCCTTTACCAGCTGGGTTGGTATCAGATCAACAAAGGGTGGGGAATGGCCCGCATCCAGAGCAGGGCATTGCCTCTAGCAAATGCTGGTAACAGGTATTTCGAGTCTGCGTCTTTGCTGTTCTGGAGCTGCACTGTTTGACCTGCTGTCCGTGCAGGAGTCATATTTTAGCTTCCCTTCTCACCCCACCTGATTTTTTTCTAGCCTCAGAAGCATAACACAGAGATGAATTTGTTGAAGGGCACTAACAAAAAAAAAAATCTATAAATCTATTCCCACTAAAAAGATGATGGAAAACATATTATGGGAGCATCTCTACAGCTTGCAATATAAGCTAAACAAGAATATCACCTATACACGTAAAAATAATTTATTTTAGTGGCATGAAATGTGTTTTTCTTAATAGCATAAAGTTCTCCACTGGGCTAGAAGAGACAACGCATGGTGGAATTACAGTACATTTCAATTGAAGAAATAAATAAAGTTCCTTCTGATAACACCAGGATGTTGTTACTGCCTTGTCCTTGTAGACACTGCGTGCACACCCCAGAAGTTTAGCAACGTCGCATTTGAAATGCAAAGGAAAGTAAAAATAAGAAAAGAAATGACTCAATATTTTCACATCAGCCCTGTAAGACAGAAGAGACGTTCTCACCTGTCTGCTTTGAGATGGCAGCGTGGCAGGCTGCATGTGTCTCTGCATGCGATGTGGCTGCATGAGCTGTCGAAACTGCTGCTGGAGGAACTGGCTGTTGTTAGCCTGCTGGGACTGCTGCGTGGCTTAAGTTAGGCCTGATGCACCAGGGCTAATGGGCTGCTGCTGCTGCTGCTGCTGCTGCTGCTGGAGATAGTGCATGAGAGACTGCTGCCCTTGTCCTGCTGTCAGAGGTGACATCTTTTGAGTAGCTGACTCTGAGGCAAAGTGAGACAGTGGTTTGGTGTTATTGAAAGAAAACTGGTCTTGGCTAACAGGGCTCTCATTCACCAGAGCTGGCTGTAAGCTACTGGATGGCTGCTGCATAATTATGTTCATATTTTTGGACTGGTTTGTAGTCATTGATTTAAAAAGCGAGCTCTGCATACTTGTGGGGTTGCTGGTGGGAGTGATGTTAGAGATTAATGTACCTTGAGGACTGAAGGGCTGCTGATGCAGAGCCGGGCTTGACAGCTTTTCTGGCCTGTACGGTGGAGAAGGTCCAGTATTTGTGGAGGCCATGCTGGCAACCAAGTTGTTCTGTGGACTTTTAATGTTGTTGGCTGGCAAGCTGGCTGCCGTCAGGGTGGGCAGCATGGAGCTCTGTGGGCTGAAGGGCTGCTGGTTCAGAGCCGGGCTGGAGAGCTTCTCAGACCCGTAAGGAGGAGAGGGGCCATTGGATGGGGTGCTGCTGGAAGTCATGCTTGAAAGCAGAGTGTTTTGAGGACTCTGAATGTTGTTTCCTGGTAAATTGTTAGCAGGCATGCCAGACACCATAACATTTTGAGGACTGAAAGGTTGATGGTGTGGGGATGATCCTGCCCTGTAAGGTGGAGAGAGACCAGGAGGAGACATAGTTGGCCAGCTGGGAGCCTGTACTTGTTGCTTGGTGGTAGACACCTGCTTGCTAGCTGCCAGCTGCTTTAGCTGCTGAGCGTGCCAGTTGGAGCCAGGTATGTTGGGTAAGGGTACCGGCAGCATAGACGGTGGCTGGTTCTTGCTCTGAGCTGCTGTAGAGATGGGCGATGCAGCAGGTTTGTTTGAGGGAGGAACTTGGAAGTTAGCTCCAGCAGATGATGGTCTCATCTGAGGAGATCCTCCACTGGTTGGATTGCAGCCAGGAGAAAAATCTTTGTTAGCAACATGGTTCTCCAAGTGGGAATTCTGTGGGGACGACTTTGGAGTGGTACTTAGGCTTGGTTGAGAATGACTCAGCCCAAGTGGCTCTTCAGCCTTGCTGCACAAAATCTTCTCCAGATCCAGGTCATTGGGAGAAGGATCAGGCATTTTCGTCAGCTCTTCCAATAGATCTTGCAGCTCTTGGTCCACAGACTGTAAGCTGTTTCCTTTCTCATCGTAGTGGACAATGTTATTGGTTTGCCCTCCTATCGACCCCTTCTGATTTATTTCCGTGTTGGGTGGCACTGAAAACGGGGAACCGATGCCACCGCCATTCATGTGATTGTTTTCGAGGAGCACTGAGTGACCTGCAACTCCCAGGGAAGAAGCGCCGTGACCAGTGGAGAACGGGGAGCTTTGCATTTCTGGACACGCCGCGTTGGGATTGGCACCTTGGCCCATGGCAAGGTTTACGTCATCAAGACAAAGTCTTTTACTGTCATTTGGGAAAATGACATCAGGCACACCACTGGAGGCAGGAGAGCTATCATCTTCCAGTTTTCTTTTAATGGATCCCTGTAACTGGGAAAACAAAAAAGGAAGAAGAAAGGATCCGTTATTGACCTTTTTCTAACATGCTGTGAAGCTCCATACTGTAACACTGGGTTGGAGATAAAGAAAATTAAATCATACAAGTAAAAAACCAATCATGTGAGACAAATTCAATCAGGATTTAAGTGGGTGCAACTTCACTGAAATCAAAAGAGTTACAGTCAGACAAGGGCTAAATCTCACATGTTGACCTTAAAACAGATGTTAAAGCTATAAAAAAACCTGTCTGTCATGTGAACTGTAATACAAGTTTTTTAAATAGCTTCTGGTACCATTTCAATTAAGACATTATACTCCCTGAACAAGAAACATGCCAACGTTTTTATGGTAATATTTTTTAGGTCTAAACAATGGCAGATCTGAATGAAACCCTGGACTGAATTTGGTGACCTTCTGCCAGTGACGTGGATTAAATTCAGACCTGAGACAACTAAATTGTTTTACATTCTTTATAGGCAGAACATCTGAAATAACTGGCATACTTTCTAAACAAAACAAAACAAATTCTCAACTATCTATCTAAACAGACTTTCGAGCTTCCTCATCACAGATGTTTTAGATTTCAGAAACCCGTAAATAACAGCTAAACCTCTTAATTTTTGTTTATTCTTCTAAGTCTAAGGCAGTATGGGCTTTGTTCTTTTGAAGGATTGCAACTCATTCATAAAAACCAAAGTGTTTTCAAAATACAATTACATAAATATCTTGATCTACAAGAAATGGTGGAGTTGTAAATCCACAAATCTTAGGGGGAAAAAAACCCCTGCCTTATGCGTATAAAGAAAGTGAAACTGCAAACAACGCTTCTAATACGAATTCAGAGCGATATGGCAATCTCTTCCAAATATAATCATCTGTGTCTTTCAATTTTAACAAGCATGACCTGTATGACATAGGATTAATCAGACATTAACATTGCTGCTCCAAGTTAAGGGAAATAAGCTTTTTGTCCTTGTTTATCAATAGAGGGAGGAGCTCTTAGAGAAGTATCTAATCAGCAATGGGAAAACCATAGAAAGTCACTGTTCCTCTAAGCCGGCTCACAGTAAAGCCTCTCCCAGCCCTGGCTTAGAATTGCAAGCGCTGCCAGTCATGCAGTACCATGAAAAAGTCACATCTAATAACAGCTCATATCACCAGAAAAGCCCCACCACCTAACCCCGGTGCAACCAGATCCACTCTAGGGCTGTGGTGGGTATGACTAACTTCTAAATTTTACACTGATTATTAATGAACTCACAGTTTTGCCTAAGAATCACGACGCAATGGCAAGCAACTTTGGTGCTCTCAGACAACGGCGTCACAGGATGATCACCGTCGGGTGTGCGGAGGCTGCAGGGCACAAGGTGGGCACACCTCGTACAGCTCCTTCTGCTGCGTGCACATGAAGGTCGCTGTACAAATGGCCAATGTCCACCCCTAAATTCAGCCTACGTTCAGGCCATCGACCACAAACGTGCATTGTTCCGACCTGGGAACACAGTTCCCGTGTGGCTCATTCAGCTGGACTCCCACGAGTTTATTTTTAAATTGGTGAGCAGAGAGAAGATTTCAGACTTGTACCTACAGTTGCTTAAGCTACAGATGCAGTTTAGGATTAGTATTAGATGTTGCCATGCTAATATCCAGCTTACACAGATATTTGGAGGAGAGCGAGAGGATACAAGTTAATTGTACGTGATCATCACGGCAGATGGAAAAGCAGGTCTGCATACTACGGAGAGCTGCTGATCAGGTTGTAGGAGGAGCTCACCTACCCTCCATCAACAGACACAGCAGTTGTGAATGGCATTGTGGCAGAGACCTTCTTACACGGGTATTTCCCCCCCACCCTGTAAGAGTTATCCCCTACTACAGCAATCAGTGCCTCTCTCTCGTGCCCTCCACTTGCATTGCTTTAACACGGGTTGCACTCAAAAACCACTGGCAAGTGAGAACCGACACCGACCGGGAAGAGTTGCTCTCAGTGCACCATTCAGTGGTTACCTGCCTGCCCTCCTCGGCCAGCAGTGCTACACGTGGTTTGAATCGTTGCTCAGGGAGAGACCTTTACATCACAGCCAGAGACAGCTGAAGCATCAGTGATTTGATTATTCCTCTGGGCTGATGAGGCCAAAATTTGCTTAGCTTTAGGAAATGGAACAAGGCCTAAATCTTCTCCCAAGTGTTGGTCTAATGATGGATGAAATTGTTTTCCTTCATTTTCTTTGCTAAAGCTAAGCCAGAGTTGCATGTTTCAACAGATGTTGCCCTGTGTAGGCTGAAACATGTTGGTAGAGCATAACTACATATATTTAAACCCATCTTTACAGGGGCTTCACACATCCAAAATAAACACAGTGTGTTCCCAAGTTGCACCCTGGGAACCTTCAGGCAGGAAGTGGTGGGGGATCTCCCACACTTGGCCAGCTGACACGCTGGCATGCGTGGCCTTGCCAGTGCTTCTTTTGCCATAGGACATTCCTATGCTCTGAGTTACTGGGGAAAAATTTGGGCTTTCTAAACACTTTAAAAAATAGGTTTTTTAACTGTTGCACAGGGGAGTAAATGTGATGGGAAAACAAAACTCCATTTCCCCAAGACTATTACTAGATATAAACAGATAAAATAAGGCCATAGCTTTCAGATGGCATGGGCATTCCAAAACTGGGACAGGATTTTTAAATGGGATGCTGTTGCTCAGCCCTCGTGAGAAGCCTGGCTGTAAGAGAGGCAGTGAAATTAGCTGGGCGTTATGTTCCCCGGAAAAGCAAAACTCCTATTTCCCAGGTGAATATTTGCACAAGGACCATAAAAATCCAGAAGACAAATTTCCCCCAGTGCAGGCAGGTATAACTCCACACAGTTGAGTAGCATTGCTTTTGCTTAAGATAGATTTGACTATAGCTCCAAATTTGAGAGAGAAAGGTACCATCCTTAAAGCAACTAATAATAGAATAATTTTGGTTAGAAAGGAGGTCTGGGTATCATCAGCCCTCTGCTTTGAGTACATCACAAGTGAAAAAAACAGACGACAGTATTTCACCAGGCACTTAAGCATGACGTATCAACTCCAGACAGAAATCCTTCGTGGGCTAGCTGAGAGGTTTGCTTCAGTATTGCCCACTGCAACACGCGTGGCCGTTGATCCCCTGCAACACGCTCTGCACTGGTGCTCTCTGTCAGGAGCCAGCGTTTTTCTCCCAGCGACTGCTCTCTGGGAAGGTGCCACTGTGGCACCCTGGCCGCTGCAGGGGACAGTAATGCAGTTTCACGTTACGGAGACACTGGCTGGCTCGGACGTGCTAAGAACAACGGTGGCAGGAGATCATCACCCAGGCACTACGATCACCAGGAGCTCGTGACCTAACTCATTCAAGAAGCTGCTTGTTGCAGATCATTCATTCAGTACTCTCACACGTATCAAGACCATCTCTTTAAGACCTATCTATCCTTTTCTAGACTCTTCCCTTGCTAATAACATTTTTACTGCCCATTTCCTTTGTCTGGCCCTGGATTCCCCAGGAAGGAGCTGATTTATTCCAACTCTTTCTCCCCTTCTTCAAGAGGGCTTACGCTATTTGAAAAAATCAACAGAAATAACAAGAACACCAAAATACGTTCTTCCACTTTCTCTGCTGATTAGTATATTGGGCAGCTCTGTTTCAAATTGAATACCTTACAAATGAGTAGAAATATTTGAAAATCTAAACACACACACAGACTTAAGCTGACTGGAGGTTGTATATGGCTAAGTATGGGAAAGCTTCATTCCTATGTGCAAACAAGGACAAAGCAGACAAGCAACAAATGGGCTCTTGTGACCTTGTCGAAATTCATTAAAATGCATTAGCATGCACAGGCTACCTTCTGTTTGGGAACACCTGGGAAACAAAGGCAGGCCCTCCGATTTGGGGAATATCCGATTAGGAGGTCTGCACTATCCCAGGTTTGCTCTTAGAAGTGAGCGTGCCATGATCCCACCACTGCTGTCCTCTCAAAACCAACAGGTTGTCTGTCTGTCTGGGAAAGACCCAAGTTACAACCGAGTAGCGCTGCTAGCTCGCAATGGCAGTACAACAAGAATAAATAATAACTGTTTACCCTGCTCTGTCCAAGGAAGCTATACAGCTGTGGTTACAAACACCTCATTTGTCACACACTACCTCTTCGCCCAGAGCCGATGCCCTACGTGTGCGCAGAGCGCTGCGCAGGCCTCTCCTGTGCAAGGAAGAAAAGTCGGCCTCAGCGAGCGAAACCAGTCCTCGGCTGCACGCTCTCCCAGACTGAGCTCTCTGAAGTTGCCTGCTCGGGTCACTTTTGGCGCCAGGCACTTTCCAAACTCAGGAGGTGGTGCTGGCCTTGAGTAACTGGCTATTGCTCAACGAAGGGAGAAAGGAAGGCTGGAAGTGCCAAAAACTGAAGCAGAGAGATGTAATTGTTAATAAATATACACTGTCGTGGTTCCATTGGATTTTAATAACCAACGGAATGGGCATCTCCGGACTGGCTCCCTGCCTCGCTGTCACTCAGCCTTCCTCCTTTCTGTACCGCATCGGCTGTCCTCAGCTGCCACGCCAGCTCTCCACGCGAGCAGCTGCCCCATGGCCCTGCTGCCAGCCCTGTTAATTCTCCACCCGTCACTTGCTCCTTCGCCTGCATGGTGTCTGGGAGGAATGAGCCACTGCGGCCTGCTCGGGAGAGCCTCGTTCCTCCAGCCTTGAGATGATCCCTTCTGCCAGAAAGCAGCCAAATCTAACCAGAGATTCCTATTTCGGTCAACGTAATGCAGAAACGAGAGATGAAAAATGTTAGGTGAGGTATTTCTGTGCCTCTTCCTGGCTTCTGCAGCCTGTCAGAGATTCAAGCCTTGATTTACAGCAACCGCAGGGTGCTGATTATTGATCTGCAACCACCCCACCCCACTCACTGCCATTGAGAGATGCAACCTACAGCAGCGATTCCCACACCTACACAGCTTCTTCAAGCGAGAACTGAGCCCGATGGGACGCTAACACTTTGAACCGATGTCTGTAGAGCCTGTGCCACGTTCTCCTTCGGCAGCTAGTCTGCCTCCCCCATCTCCAGCATGCACCATCATTGCTGGAGACTCTCTTGATTTATTAGCTTGAAATCTATGGATCCATGACTGGGATATCCAGAATGGGAGTCAGATAACCTGCTTTCACTGGGAATCTCAAGACCCTTGTAACTCTTGGGAAATCCCAAGTGTTGGCTTTTCTGTTTGTTCCATTGAGGAAAGGAGAGAAATGATGGTAAAAGGAGATGGGGCAGGTGGGGAAAATTTCAGTCTCATCACAGATACCAGGATTTGCTAGTGTTGTGGCAGCTTTGCACAAAGCCTTTCAGAGCAAGACACCGGTGCCTCAGAAACCTGGGGAATCCAGGTCACCAACAGGCTGCTAAGATCTGGCATATCTGAATTACTCTGACAGAGAGAACATGTTTAATCTTTGGTGGAAGGGCTGAGCAACGCAGCAGCCCGAGATGAGTAGAAATCTTTTTTCCAGTATTTTTTCCAAGGTATACTGCAAACTGTTTTTTCCCCTCTGCAAAGCATAAAACCTGAGTCTAAGGTTTGCTCAACTGAGCTGACCAGAGAATCTATCACTCTCTGTCTCTTTCAAACACGAGACACTGCCAAAACTGGAAGTATGTATTTGCCAGAGGCAAACTGTTTGCAGCACTCAGCGATCAAGACTTCAGTCTCTGTGGCTTCAACAAGCTTCAGCGAGAGCTATCTGCCCATCAGCCCCGAATGTTTCTATCTGTTCTGACAAAAACAGTCATGTAATGAGAAAATGAAACTGGCAATTTTCCATATAAAACAAGAAAACTTCACATTTTTTCCTCCTGTGCCTTAAATACACAATTTGGAAAGGTTTGTGCTCTCTATTGCTCATTTATCCACACTCCAGATAGATTTAATGTCCTACTAATCTTTAAGGACAGTTCATAAAAAAGAGGTGAGAATTTGAGTGCGTTTGAAGGCCGGAAAGTGGATCTGATATAATATTACTTTTTAAATGGCAGCAGTTACTTGCAGCCCTGCTTGAAGCCTCAGACGTGCTGCTTTCGGTAGCGGGCTGGCTTGCACACGAGCAACAAAACCCACATGGGATCTTTGCCCGTGAGCATTTAACTGCAGCAGAACCTGGCACTGCATTAAGTGCATTTAGCGCATCCGCAAGTTTCCATTCCTGCACGCTGGCTGCAGTTTGGTAGCAGAAACTCACATTATACATTTGAATCCAAGAAAAAATGCCTCCTGCTGAGTAGCCAAAGCAGTCCATGACTATGAGGAACATAAACTAGGCTTTATCAAAGTCACATCTCGGGCTACAAGGAGAACTCAAGGAGGCTCATGCAATTAAAACTACCATTCACTTTCTCCATACTAAGATTAAACATAAGCTAAAATCACATTCTTCCTACTGCTTTAGGCTGTTTAACCCTTCTGAT